TATGCATGTATGTATGATGTATGTATCGTTGTATCGATGTATATAAATGTGTATGATGTTTTGCACATTATGCGGTATATCGTTTGTAGAGTGTTTATCCACGTAGCATGTAACCTATATAGCACACAACATGATAGTGGACTGTCGGCCATAGACTACAACCATCTTTTCTAGACAATATACACAACAAATACTCGAAGTGTGGTGGCTATATATGTATCCACACACATATGTGTGTATGCATATGTATGTGTATATATATATATACATGTATTTATTTATTTAGTTACGTTTATATTTTTTATTTCACAGATACAGGTAGATATGCCTGCACGCATGCATGCATGCATACATATAGGCTTTGATATGCCTGAACGGGGGAGGATTGAGGATCTTTGGTCTTCGGGTTCGGGGCTCAGGGGAGAGATTGGGGTTGGATATGGGGGGTTCATGGTTAAGCAGGGGGCCAGGATTTCAGGTTCGGGCTACGGCGCTTACGGTCAGCCCAAAATCGTTTCAAGCGTCGCTAGTATGTTTGAGGCAGGTCTCTTCACTTCGTTCGTTTGCTCGGCTACCGTGACCAACGTTGACATTTGTTGCAAAAGCCTAAGCACTAACCCGGAGTACCCAGCCCCTTTAGCCTAGAGAAATCCTTAACCTGTAACCTCTATAGTGGCCCTTCAAACTCCAGCTCGCCTGAGTCCACGCTGCCGCTGGAAGTGAGGGCCTTTGCCGCCGGGCCACCTCCGGCTTTCCAAGGCGAGGTCCGATCCTCGAGCTCTTGAGGATGTAAACTCTTTGAATCGAGATATGTGGGTGTGTGGTGTAGGGTTTGGGGTTTACGACGTACACTCTCTAGGGTGTAGGGTTTAGGATTAGGTTGCTCGTGTTGTCGTATTCATTGTGCTACTCGCCAGAGGAAGATGAACAATCAAGCAAGTAGCCGCTTGACAATTGCTTGAACCACAGCAGCAGTCACAAAACAGCAATATTGTTGCTTATGATAAGACATGCAATGGTGGGATAAGTTGCCACTTCAATGTTCGTCATGGTCACAACAGTCGGCCTCATAAGAACACTGATACCACCATCGTGCCAGTATCAGCGTTCATGGGGCAGTTCGTGTGTGTTTCTGCAGTTTGCATCTTGAACAGGATGTCACGACACGCCAGTGGCACGAGCTTTGGGGAAGCGTTCGGATATGTGGATTCGTCGTTTTTGAAGGCTTTGTAATTCAAACATCAGCTGATGAATGGTCTTGCATTCAGGACCCGTCGTGAACTTTGCAAGTGCATAGAGAAGTGGTTCAACTTGTGGATGCTGCACGTAGAGGCGATGAAAACAAAAGAATTTAAAAGGGCTGCCTTTGGCTCTCTTCTCCAAGGAGAGGACCTGGAGGAAGGGCTCATGTCGGTGATCAACCGCTGTGACCCGGTCCCACACCTTTCCCTGGACGCCGCTCTTCGCATGGTCTTGGCCGCAGAGAACTTGGCAGAAGCCGGCCTCTCATGGCAACAGACGCTGTCTCTGGTCACTTGGCACAGCACTAGACTATGTAATATATAAAAGATCATATGTCCAAAAGTATTGAACATATATGTATATACACATGCTATACTACTATTTACATATATATATATGTATGCAGATAGATTGTACTATGCTTCTACCTGCTTCCTGCCCATTGCAAGCTGGCCTTGTGCCTCTCATATATCAGACCATCGATCTGCTTATGTAGCCTAGCTGGTGATTCCCCGATTGAATAGAGCTTTGAAAGTTGAAAGGGTATCGTAACGATAGAGGTAGGTCGCCATGGCGTAACCTGAGAGGTGATCGGCGGCAGCGACGTGTCGAACCCCGTCTTCGATGACCTGTTGCCCGATCACCTGGATGTCGGCATCGCCCCATTGCGGATACCTGGACAGGCGATGTGGCTGGTGGATGCTGTGGCAGGGCGCCAAGTGCTCGCGGTCGACTTGGCTAAACGGCTGGATGACTTTACACGTGAGCTCCCGGAGATCTCTGTGGCACAGTCCGCGCTTGATCATGTCATTCTGATGCAGAAGGATCAATTTTGCGAAATTTCGCGGGAAGTTTCGTGGTGTTAATGGGGTTGAGGTGTTCTGAGAAGGGCTTAATGAAGTTTAAGCTTGCTTGTGGTTCAGGGCTTGAATTTTTGAGGTCTTGAACGGGTCAGAAATCGAAAACTGCAGAACCTGCAAAAACAAGACGGCCAGCAGTCTTTTTCGACCTTGCGATTGGATCTTAGGTGTTGCATCTACGAACTTCTTCATTCGTACATGAAGCAGAGCCCTTCTTGGGAACAGGAATAGACTTGACTGTAGGACTTCGCTGATGTTGTGGCCAAGGTCATGTCCACCTATGTTTACAATATGGACAAAGCCTACAAGAGGCTTGAGTCATAGGCCCCGTGCCTTCATTGTTTCATGTCCCGAGCTTTCCTCGCTGCATTGCAGCTTGGTAGTAAAACCAAGCCAAGGAGGTTGCAATATTGAAAGCCAGATGAATCACCCGACAACCACTGTATCCGTCTCGCTCCTGGGTTTTGGGCTGTGGATTCAGGAGCCAACACACACGTCATTGCACCAATTCTTCTACAAAATTCGTTTTAATGCTTTATTCGGGTCTTCGGGTATTATATCCAGGATTCAATCTGATTCTAAAAATCAAATAAAATTCATGAAATTATGTGACAAGATATAGTGTCAGATTCGATAACAATCTAGACTCAATATCAGATATAAATATTTGATATAAGAAATTATATGACAAGATATAGTGTTAGATTTGATAATAATCTAGACTCAATATTAGATATAAATATTTGATATAATATTTGTGAAAAACATAAAGGATTTATATGATTGTACGACTATATATTTACGATGAAGAAATATAAGATTAATTTCTATCTTTTATTATGGTTATCTTTAAAATGAAGATAAATAAACTTATAGATAATTTTATATATAAATTTATTTTTCTTATTTATTCTATGATAAAATGAGGTTATGTTATTTGTGATCGTGTTTCTATGCGTGGTTTAGTCTTCGTTAATTTGTTTTTTGATATATATATTATTTTGAAAGTCTTTTGAATATTTGTTTCGCGGTGTTAAAATTTTGGCTTACGATTTTTCTTTTTCGAGACGAAAATATTAGAAATTTTGATAGATTTAGGGGAGACATGTTTGTGAATATAAAATTTCGAAATTTTAGGTAGGTATTTTTATGGCGATAAAAAATTCGAGAGATTTCGCGAAATTATAAATTTTCGAGGTATTGTTAGTTTTAGGGAGATATATTTATTTGTCTTTATGGAGGTATTTATTTGGATGTAGGATGGCAAATTAAATTCGATTGATGGCCGACTTTTTAACTAAATTAATTTGTTACGCGAGTAGATATTCTTAGATTGCCTAAAACTAAAGGTTATATGATATCTTTGTTGTTTCTTCTTCGGATATGATGGGAGGGCGAAAATATATTATATACGATATTATTTAAAATTATGTTTTTATTAGATAGGGGATAGACGAGCAAGTGACGGATGATTCTTTTACGTGATCTTGTCAACTAGAATAAAATAGGCCGAGGTCGCGATATGTCTTGGCTCGCTGGCCGACATACTTGATGATGGTTCTTACCCGTGCCTCGAGTGCGTTAACGTTGCGGTAGACGGTCGTTCATGGCGCCGTGCCCGTGCCGGGGAGCTCTTCTCAAATTCTATAAAGATGGAGATTGGGCGGCCTTTCTACTAGCCCAAAAGAATCCTGAAATATATTGCTTCCATTATTGGCGGAAAAGTCATGTCGTATTATCTGATCGCGGTAGTCTTTTTTCGTATCAGAGTTGTTGAATACGAGTGTAAGGATACAGGGAATACTTGTTTTTTTGCTAATGAATCAGCAAGGTATCCTGAGCCTATTACGAGACCTCTCTCAAGATCTTCTTTCTTGATATCTCAACTGAATCTTGAATTCTGATCTGAATTGATGTCATTTTCGACAACTCATCACCAGGGTTGCCTGGAGTTTGACTTTATATCTGTTCCTCTCTATGCGAATATATATCTCTATATATCTATAAAAAAATCTGTCTATCTGTCTGCCTGTCTGTCTGCCTGGCTCTGTCTCTGTCTCTCTGTCGGTCTCTGTCGATTTCTGTCTCTCTATATATCTCTGTCTCTCTCTATTTCTCTCTATCTTTCTATCTCTCTGTCTGTTTATCTGCTTGTCTGCTTGTCTGTCTGTCCCGGTCTATCTCTGTCTATCTGTCTCTGTCTCTCTGTCGAGTTCGTTTGTTTTTATATTTGTGTCTATATTTCTCTCTATCTCTCTCTCTTTTTCCATATATCTTTGCATCATTTCTTATTGGAACTCTCTCTCCGTACTTCTTTTCTCTCTTCAATTTTTTTTGGTTTTGTCTAGTACGGAACGGCCGAACGGACGACAAGACGGCGAGATGAAAAGATAGAAAGACGGATTTCTGAGAAATTAGATAGATAGATTGATAAATCGTGTATTTGTCCATTTGAGTATATCTATTTGAATCTTTCTCTTCATATGCGATTTTATTTATCTATCTATAAGAAGAAATACGAATCTCTACGGCCATGAATATTTTTTTATATTTATATTTATTTGAATTTAGGAATCTTTTAATTATCTATTTATCAAAAAATTATTTGTATTTGAATATTTTTATCTATATGAGATTATCTATCTATTCATCTATCTCTTGATAGATGCTCTAATGATTGAATATTTTTAATTCTTTAACATAAATAAAATAATCTAATAAATCTTTTTATTTTATATATGAATATTATATCTAATAAAGAAAAAAAGAAATTATATAATTTTCTAATTCATTTAAATATTCTTCGTATATATTTACTTGATATTAGAATATTGTTTTTATTTAAAATGCTATTGGGGAAGATTATTCGATATTCTTTAAATACGATTTTAATAAAAAAAGATTTCTTATCTTATGGATTTCTGAATATAGATATTTGATTTTCAATTTTCTACAATTATGTAATGAATATTCAATGATATATAGAATATATATAAATTCTAATCTTAAAATGATTCTGATTATTGGTTTCTTTTCAGATCTCTTTAAATGATTTGTAGATTCATTTTAAAAATATCGATTATTTTCGAATAAAGAAAAGATACGATTTAACCTATTTCAGATTCATGGTCACAGTCTTGGAATAACTTTCGCATTTATATTAAATAGTTATATATCATAGAATTTTTCTATAAATATATACAAATTATCCAACGATCAAAGCGGAAATAACGACTTGATCATTCTGGCATGAGCTTTGAATATAAATATTATATAATTGAATTCAATTTATTCAGATGATATGATATCTTATTTCGGAATCAATTTACTTCTTAATTGAATTATTCTATACCGTATCAACAGGTAAAAAAAATAGTAAAAATAACAGCAGCAATAGTGATATGAAATAAGATAAATAACAAGAATATTTCTGAAAAAAAATCAATTAAAATAATGACGATTATGAAAGTGATATGCTCCTATTCATGAATCTATATAGATAATCGTCACTTTATTTATGAAATAGATATATATGATATAATAAATAGTTATTATTCTATATTTTCTATTGTTGCTCTTGAAATCAAAATATATATAATAAACAAATGAATAAATAAAAAAATAAATAAAAATATATGTATAAAATTTATAATCATCTTCGTCTAAAAATATGAAAATATATATTTTTAAATTTACGAGATTTCTGAAAATTACCAATAGTCTCAAAAAGCTAAATTTCGACAGAGAAAGATTTATAGAATTATTTTTTAGAATCATTAATTATGAGAGATAGGCGAAGAAGAATCTTGGCGGAGCCCAAAAAATACGATAGAAATAATTCGTCCAGAACCACGAATATAAATCGGGTCTTACAAATATTCGATATTAAAAAGACATCAAGACCCAGATTTATATTTAATAGAAAATAAATATATAATTAATTACCAAAAGAAAAATATGAAATATAAAGATGCCCGAATATAATTCATCAATACAGATATATTTAAAATATCGTAGCCTCCCTCATAGAAACGTGCGAATATTATCTTTATTAATTTATATATTATATCGAAATTTAAAATCAAATAATTATCATGTAAAATATTATCATAATATTAAATCATCTCAAAATATATATTCTATTACATCTAAATTATCACAAATTAATATCAAAACAGAATTTAATGTATCCAAATAAGAGTCCCCCTCTTAATAAATAGAAATTCCAAAATCCAAATATAATAATAACCAATTCTATTTAAATTCTTAAATCTTTTTTTCAATAAAAACCTTTTAACAATATATATAACGATTAAAAAAATTAATCAAATAAATAGATTGAAAGAAAATATAAATAAGAAAGAAAAGTTTTTGCCTCCCGCCTAGCTAAGACGAACCTACGATAGAGAGTCTGAAAGTGGCAAACACAATTAATAGCCACGCGCTGCTAAGGTAAGAATATATATTCAAAATTTTCGTAATAAAGTAGAATATCCTAAGATCTTTTTATTAAATCCTTCAAAATAAATTGGCAGATTATATGTTATTAGATTCAAAGAGTTATCTATTATCTGAGAAATAAGACAAATATTATCGAAAAAATCCACCGCTATTGTTTTGCAATAATTGTCATTAGCTCAGAACATTTTTGCCTGGCTCAGAGAATTGGGAGCTTTAATTTGCGGTTTGTCTCCTCTGCACGGCCATGCTTCGATTTTAGGTTTTCATTTCAATCCTACCGTCTGAGGCGGCCCAACCAAGAATTAGCGCAGCGCTTTCCCTTTTTCTTCTTAAAATGTCTATGCTGAGCAATCAGCACAGGTGTCAGCAGTGGTATGGGGTATGGAGCCTCTGGAATGACTTCCTACTTACTTTAATTTGCAGAGCTCAAAGCACAAGATCCTTTCCGATGCCGACCGCCCGCTACACTGCGCCTTGCCAAAAGCGCCTTCGGCGCTCGCTCAGGTACGGCGCCCCGAACACCCAGACGATGAATTATCCGCAATAACGAGTGACGAGTTCAATCGAGTCGCGGTCAGTGAAACAGTTTTTAAAAAATGCTGAAAATGCTAACTAGATAACGACGTTCACTGCAGCCAGAACCACTTCATCACACAAAGCCGCTGCTGTTCGTGCTCTGTTCGTCTGCAAGAAACCTTCCAAGCGGTGCAGCATCAAGTCTTGCAGCTGCTGGTTGAAGCCCTCCGCATCGCTGATCTTGCTCAAGACCAGCTCCTGGCAAAACTTCGAATCATTGTACTAGACTATTTTGTGTTGTTCTACTAACTACATTACATTATATCATACTATATTGCATTATACAATAGGAAGTCTTTCAGCCCCCCAGCGAGTTTCGAGGCTCTCCCATTTAAATTTGGGAGCCTGGAATTGCCCTTCAGAGAGCGCAGGAAACGAAAGCTCCGACAGGATCCATGCTTTTCTGAATCTAAGAACTCCCACTTCCCTAAACCCTAAACATCCCTAAACCCCAACTTTCCTAAACAGGCCTTGTCGGCGGGGAAGGAGGCTTCCGCGGCCCGTACGTCGATGCGGAGGAGCGTCTCCAGACATCGATCTCGAGAGGCCGCCGAGTGCATCTTCACCGCCTGACGCCAGGAGCCCTAGAGAAGCTGGGGTATTGTACTGCATTATATTTAATGATATTATACTACTACATTACTACTACATTACTACTACATTACTACACTGTTTCATATCATACTATTATAGATATTGTGCTACAGTTTGCTAGATTCATGTGTTTTGCCTTATTTTCTTTGAATCTCAGACTTCCAGAGGCCTATCTCCCCGGAGCCCCAAAGGAACCTGTCGCAGGTGGAGCTCGTTGGCCTCCACCAGTTCGGCGACGCACCACACCTCGGCTGGCCAAGACCTCCAACCCACCGGTTTAAGGCTTAGGCTTTAGAGCTCTGGCAAGTGCACACAATATTGTTTGCTCAGAAGTTAACTAGATCTTCTATCATGCAGTGCTCCAGAAGCTTCATCTGGATGGAGTTGACTTGCAGTTCATGGATTCCTGATCGGGCTTTTCAGGCCTATTGAAACAATCCGGAGAGGATCAGAATCTGATTAGCAGTGCCTAGCCGGTTGCTGTTGCTGTTGCTGTTGTTGATTGGGGTGTTGTTTTTGGTGGTGGCGGCGGCGGCGTTGGTGTTGGTATGGCGGTTCCGTCTTCTGTACACGGCCTCGTGAGAGCACTGCCTGGATATCTGCAAGATCACCAGTTTAACTCATTCTACCGCTGCTTCCGTGTACCAGGCGACGCGAGAAAGCAGGGAGAAGTCTACTTCCATGGCGATGACTTGCTCGAGCCGTACCTGGAGGAAGGGAAGCACTGAAGTGAAAGAGAAAGCGGACTGGAGACAAACAGTGGGTTGTTTGCAAGCCAGAGCATGAGCTCCCTGTTGCCTCGGTTTGGGTTCGTAACGCTCTTCTGAGGTAGGCCATCATGTCGTCGAACTTGTTCATCTCCTTACCGAAGGAAACTTTCGACCATCACAACCTAGCATCTAGGAGACTCTACCAGCAACGAAAAATCTTAAGCCTCGATGCGCTTAGGTCCCCATCGAAGTGCTTGGCAGTGGCACAACTGCACGGGGTGATGGCATGACCGGTGGAGTCCGTGTGTGGGGGCGTCGCACAGATGCCTGCATGCTGGTTCACAGAGAATGCACAGATCCAGTACGGGACCTCCAGCTTACCCTTTCTGCGCAGCGCATCGACGAGCTTTCCAAACTGCCGTTCTTTGAGAAGCTGGACCATGTGATCGTACGTCTCCATCTCCAGCGCGTCCGCCAAGACCGCTGCGAGCAGATTCACAAACTTGTTGCGCCAACTGTGGGTTACCATCTTGTGCGCTAAGCGTGGCGTGCCATTGCTCACGGTTTCTGCATAGGAGAAGCCCCTAGCAGGCCTAGCAGGCCCTTCCTCGCCCGACAGGATCCCCCGCGAAGCCCGCAAGACCAAGCTGTTCGGAACCTTGCTGGCAGGAGTTGGCATTGGCTCCACACTCGGCGAGTCGGTCGAGTCGGTGGTACCTTCAGAAGCACAAAACAACGGCCACTGAAGTCCAGTGACCACAACATAAACATGCCTGGCTAAAGCGGCCGAGGGTTTATGGTCGGAGCTGCCTTCGCTTGCACTCCGCTCTGCGCTCTGCGACGGAGATAAAGGCGAGGATGCGCAGGCCTCGGCAAAGACAAGAAACTGCTCGTGCTTCCTTTGCTATGCCATGAACAGCTGTCTCACTTCTGCTCGTTTGCACCCTATGCCCCGCCTCCGCTACTTCCAGCTGCTCTTCGAGAATTTCTTCCGCACCGTGGACGAATACCGAGATCTTAGCCAGGTCGGGGCTGGGTCACTTCGTGAATAGAGGACCCGCAAGCATAATTGATACGTATATTGATACAATTTACTACAATCCCTGAGAAGAAAGCTTTGACAGGAAGGCATACTGCAAAGAGGAGAGGCACCTGGAGCGAACCCCGGGGAAGCTGGAGGACTCCAGAAAAGCCCTCGCTCCAATAGTCCTTGCCGGGAAGGCTCGCGTGCCCTAAGGGGTCCAAGCCAAAGCAAAGATCCTCGTCACGAAAGACCTCCTCTGCAAGGAACGACTCCTCCCACACTGGCTCGGTGCTGTTCTTCAGGTGGGCCGTCCCTCCACCTTTCCAAGGCTTCAGAAATCCTCCCTTCCCCTTCACAGAGACCTCGCAGTAAGGGTCCGGAGCGCTCACGAGGTCTCCACCTACTAGCCCATTGGCGCGATGGACGACGACGGTAAAGCAACGGCTCTGTCTGACCTCCAGTGATCTGGGGATTATGGCCTGCCGAACGACGTCGTGCGTTGTCGACTGATCCGCATCAAAATGCTCCATGAACTCGTGCCCCAGACCCGCGTAGAAGTCGAGCAGCTGTCGGATGTTTACCCCGCGCCCTGCCAGCTCCTGCACTTTCCCATTCCAGACTGGCCTATCGAGGGGATCCGAAGCGGCAACTTCCTGTTGAGCCAGTTGAAGATCCAGGCCGAATTTCTTGGGCGGCTTCACACCACCTTCCGTCCAAATGCTCAGCTCTGTCCCAAGTCCTGAGAAGAGGGACGCCAGCAACGGCACGATCAGCAGCTTCCGCAGAAGAACCACAGAAAAGCTGAACATCCACTTCCACTCATCTGCCTCCGACAAATTTGCCAGAAATGCGCAGATGATCAATAAGTACAAGAGCGAAAGGCAGAAACTGAACAACCAAAAGCCGACGTCCTTGCAGCGTCTCATCCACATCTGGAGCTGTCGATGGCGATGGCTCTCTTGCACGAAGCTGCGATAAGCCAAATAGGATTCGAGGCTTCTGGGAATGAAATTGAAAGTGACCGACAGTAAAGAGACGAAGATGTACCACAAAGGCGTCCCCTGCTGAAAGGGGCAGTCGGCAGGACTCCGTGCCGCCACAGCAGTGCCATCCACGGAAAAGAACAAAGCGACGAAGGCCAAGGACCCAACGACGCAGTCCACGATGATTTTCGCTCGCTTGGTGCAGGTGATATGCAGATCGCACATGCCAAGCTCAACCACGGGGTGCGTGGCAACTAGCACCGTCCACAGCCGGCGCAAGCGAGATTCGTGCATGCGAACGAAAGCATTCGGCAGGCACTCTTCGAAGTCCACGGCCAGTTTTTTCAGCTGAGAAGACTTCTGCACTGCGAGACTTCCCTGCACCCAGCCGCTCCTGCCCCAGATATGTGAAGTTATGGAGCTGGCGCACAATTGTTTCCGGCGGGCAACCTCCAAGAGCGTGTTTTGACACAGAACCCGATGCCGAAATTGCTCCCCAAGTGCAGGCCGCAGCTTCTTCTGGAAGTTGCGAAGATGGGCCATGTGGAGCCCAGATTGCATGTGAGGCAAGCGGTTCGGCTCTGGCATGTTCCACGACCAGCTCCAGCCAAGACGTGGCAACACGCTGTACTTCTCTGCCTCACTTGAAGGATGCTTTCGACCGCAGGCCGGCCAGGCCGGCATGCAAGGAAAGCCACGATAGCAGGACTTCATCGGAGGCAGTTCCGTCAGGAAGTAGTCGTCCCGCCAAAGGCCCGCTCTCTGAAATTTCGTGTCCAGGAACTTCCCGAAGAGAACCAACGCCAGAGAGGCGCCCAGGAGCGCCCACAAGGCCATGGCCGGCGGGCGACTCCACCAGCCCTGCCGCTCGAAGATCTCCTGCAGACCCTCCGGCGCCAGCATGTTGGCGTTCCTTAAAACTCACGGGAAAGGGGAACGGGCCACACTGCACTGATGTTCTTAGCCGATTCAACAGAGGTGCTGGGCCTTTTCCAAGTGCAGATTTATCAAGAAAAAGCACCTCGACCACCCGCGAATAACTAAGCAAAAAATCAGATGTCGAAGTCAGGCTAGAAAGACCAACAAATGGCAAGGTTGCCGACGGAGACTCGCAGAGATCTTCTGTACTTCTCTGGAATTCTCTCACGTTACATCCGTTACATCCCTGGAAACGGCCACCTTACGAGTTCTATCCGAACGGGGCGGCCTCTCGTGGGTTCGCGGTTAGCGGACCTCACTTCTTCTGCGAACCGAAGAGGCCCAAACGAAGTGACCAAGAAGAAGCTTCTGAGTTCCGAGACAGGACCTGGAGCTCACTTCTGGCACTTTCTCTCAGAGCGGGGAGCCTAAAAGCTCTTGATCACTCTACTGACGGACATGGTTCTCCAAGTATGGTGTCCCCTGTGATCCACACTCACGTACAGTTTCGTGCATATTGGCCGGAACATGTCAATCAAAGTACAGAGAGGGGGGAGGGCGCTGAAGTCGACACATCTGAAGGTCAAAGGAAGAACTTAGCAACGCAAGAGAACCTGTTTCTCTGCTCAAACGAAACTGGCTGTTGGATTGCTGCCAGGGGATCGTGCAGTCCAGCAGCAGGTCCACAAAGGCTGTGAAGATCGTCAAGTGGAGTGTGGCGCACCAGAGGCCCGAAGTGTTCGTTCCGTCCGGCAAGGCTTCTGCCAGCTCTGCAACCGTCGCCAAGCGGACCCCCTCCGTGGACCAAGTCTCACCGTCCAAATACGCACAGAGCCACTTGGGGTCTGGCGTTTCGTCAGACAGCCGCACGTAGATGGGCGTTGTGCCATCCGCGACCTTCACGTCCTTTGCACTGAAAGTGCGAAGGTTGACCAGCGAGATGTCCACTGCGGGCACGGCTGAGGACAAAGGCCGTCCTCTGTTCAATCGCACCTTCAGCCCGGAACCCAGGCTTTCGTTGCCGACTGCTCCATCAAAAGTCGTCATCACCAGCGCATACTGGTCCTCTTCTCCAAGGACCTGCACACAGGAACAGAAAACTTCCACATAATTGAGCACCTGCGCCTAACGGCCTCCCGTCTTCTAAAAGCTTCGGGAAACAATGCGCTTCCAGTTCGGGTCCGCGTGCAGGACCGCCTCTCTGCGGTTGGCTCGAGGGATCGAAACATCCAGTCGAACACTCCGGGTGACTGACTTCTCACAGCAACCTTGACCAAAAGTTTAGACTCGCCACATCCTATACTGGATGTTGGGTAGACCGTCGAAACTTTCTCCTGTAAATGCTTCTGCTTTCTGCTTCTGTGTTCAGCTTCTGTTCCCTGCAATCCAATCGGCGCGGCTTTTCTCCCACCACGCCTGCATGGGAAGCACAGTGGCAGCAGGGCTGGCTTCCAGGATTGCGACGAAGCTTCCGTTGGCCACAAGTGGCCTCGAGAAGTGTTGCCAGGCTTCTCGGAGCCAAACGGCCAAAGCAACCCTCCCCCCCTTCGCCCCCCTGAGTTCGTGGCTTCATGGCTGCCATCGTACCCAACTCGGTGACGACCACCGTGGAGCTGCCATCCTCGGGAAGCTGACCTAAGGAAGGCAGACGTGGAGGCACACCGTCTGCACAGTCTTCTGCCCGCACATCTGTCCATAAGTAGCACGTACGAAGGTGTCACGAAAATTAGATCTCGGAGCTGGCTGTGTCCATTGCAGGGGGGAGGGCACAACGAACAGGGCGGGCTCAGAAAAGGTGAAACCTGGTATGACCAAAGTCATTGGCTGTCGATCCTATGGACGAGCCCAACAAGGCCCTCTGTTGCTGACGTCTGCAGGTTGGCACCTGAAAACGGAGTCGGTCTATGCTTTGAAACGAAAACCCGTTCACCCTCAGCTCCTCTACCCAGCCTCACCTAAATGCGGCCCAAGCGGCTTAGCAAGATGTTGGTGTTGCGCTGCAAGGAATTCGACACAGCATCAAGGCTGTTTGCAGCCGTGAGAGTGCTCGTGGTGCTCGTCGGCGAACTACTTGAGGAAATGCTGGTACTCGAGCTGCTTCTGGTCGTGCTGCTTGTGCCGAAGTCTGTGCTGGAGCTCGTGCTGGAAGTTGTGGTGGAGCTTGCGCTGGAACTTGTGCTGGAGCTCATGCTGGAAGTTGCGGTGGAGCTTGCGCTGGAAGTTGTGGTGGAGCTTGCGCTGGAACTTGTGCCGGAGCTCGTTCCGGAAGTTGTGGTGGAGCTTGTGTCGGAACTCGTGCTGGAGCCCGTGCTGAAAGTTGTGGCGGAGCTTGTGCCGGAGCTTGTGCACGAACTTGTGCTGGAGCTTGTGCTGGAGCTCGTGCTCGAGTACGAGGAGCCTGTGCGGGAACTTGTGCTGGTTGTGCTCAAACTGCTGCTGGTCGTCCTTGTGCTGCTCCTGCTTCCTGTTGTTGTGGTGCTGCTTGAGCTGGAGACGGTGCTGGAGCTTGATGAGGCCGTGCTGGTGCTGGCACTGGTACTGCTGCTGCTTCTTGTAGTCGTGGTGCTATGACTCCGGCTAGAACTTGAGCTGGTGCTGCTGGCTGTGCTTGTGCTCGTGCTTGTCTTTGACGTTTGCGTGCGGGTGCTTGAGGTTGATGATACTGAAGTGGTTGCTGTTGTTGTCGTTGTCGTCCCTACAATCTCGACAGTGAAGCTGTCAGCAAAAGCCACCAGGCAGATAATCTCTGCCGTATCAGATTTGGCCCTTTCAGCTGTACATGCAGGACGGACAATTCGGATCGCGATGTTCGAGATCTGAAACGACACAGGTCCAGGCGACTGCGCTAAGAGCTCCAGCTTCGACAGGTCACTCCAAGGAATATCGCCCACATAGGATACGTCCCCGTTCCAAAGAGGCACTGTGACATTCTGCCACTGGTCGCTCACTGGGCTGCAATGCACGTCGAGGCCTGACACTGTCCATGCCGAGTCCAAAGCGGAGTTGCCTACCCTTATTGCCCGAAGCTGGTTGCTGGCATTGCTGCAGACGAGCTCGAACTCCAGTTCGGCGTCTTCTTTAAACATGTTGAGGGAAGGGAAGGCCACGCTCGTCGCGTTAACCCCTCCGGAGAGGTCAAAAGTGTGAACTTTGCCGTCGCTGTCCGCAGAAGTCGCCGTCCATGGGCCAGTAACAAGTTCCACAGGGCCCGCACTGCTGGCATTGACCTGACGGCATTGGATCAATTGGGGCATGGTCATATCTGCACGTTTTGGCCAGCTCGGCAATATGATTGTTTAAGCACAAGAACAAAAGCACGAGCAAGAACTGCTCCTTAAGTTCGGGTTTCGTGTGTTGTTTGTGCCCCTTTTTGGACCTCTGCGTCATTCTCATCTGCGAAGATCCGGGCGGTTGCGGCATTTGTCTCGAAGTGGCGGAGCCAGGCCCCATCCGGTGCGTTGCGGCTGCCCTGGCCTTGGGAAAAGGACGAGTCTGACGGGGAGGGGCGAGCTTAGGGCCTCAAGAAACACAAACATTGACGGTATCTGTGTTTCAAACTTCAACCAAAGAGTGTTGCCGTACACTACACACGGAAATCTATTCAGTTCGATGTGGCAACCACAAGGCAAAGCAAACTTCTCTCCAAGCAAAGGGTCCGGCGACTACCACCACGGAACTGGCTTGTGGAAAGGTTCTTGTGAAGCTCACGTATTGTTCTGACCTATCGCCGTCGCCCCATCCCATATAAGGAAGGGTCCCAGTGGTCATGATCACGTACTGGATGGGTGACGCCGGGGAATCGGCCAAGATTTCGGCAGAGTTTGTGTATGGTTGGGAATCGAAGGCAATATAACCAATCTCCTCTGGCGAGTTCACAGTGCCGTCTTCCGTGTTCTTCATTGAATCCAGGGCCACCTCCATTCCCGTGGAATTTATCCCCCCTATGGCTGCAACCAGCCAGGGCGTCATCGGGACATGCGTCACCGCATTGTTCAGCGTTTGCATCATGACAAGACAAGTCGGAGGCACTTGAAATGGATGTAAGAACGAGACCCACTCCCAACCCCGGTGAGGAAAGTCCAGGGGTCTACAGTCCGCTGCTTGCCGCTGAAGCGTCTGGACACGGCCAGCCTCGACTACCCGACCGTCAGGCAGCAAATGCACTCCCGGAGACACAGCTACGAAGTTCACTTCCATTGCTGGGTGTGACCCATTTCTCGGCGCAGGCTCCGAGAGGCAAACCTCGAAGGATGCTTCGGTGATCGACCGGAGAAAAATCATGGCAGGGTCAGAAACATTCATTGCAATGCCTGGCATCGCCACAACTACAGGCGGCTCCACAAAGGGCTCAGCAAAAGTCACGGTTTGAAAACAGTCCGCATCCTGACTCACGCTGTTCACACCCACTTCCAGTCTTCCAGCATGGGCAGGAAGAGCCTCTGCCAGCATCAGGCAAAGAACGACCCAACGTTGCAAAGGCTGCATGTGCATTGGCAGGGGCATCTTTAAAAAAGTGTGCGCTAATACAAGACTGGTACAAGTAACAAGTCCTTCAACTTACATCTCCGTAGATGTCGTAGATCCAAGTGGCGGGCAATCACTTAGAATTCAATGCACCACCGCTCTCAAGATTTTCCTCTTGTTTCCCGTCGCTCGCTTGAACTTTCGAGCTGCGGCCATGGAGCGATGAAACGAGAGGCAATCTGTTGCGCATCAGCCCTTCGCGGAAACAAGTGCAAGCAGGAAACCCAAAGACCGGCAAAGACCGAAGGTACCCCCCCCTAGGTCATCAACAGAAGCCGAATTCAAAGTCGGCCGTGAGGTGGGACTCATGGTCTTTGCAGCCCCGGCGAGAACAAGCAAAACAGGGGGCCTCAAGGATGATTTTTTTGTGCCAGAAACATTCTGCACCTGACAACCACTGGAAGGAATCCGATCCCCAAGGCTGCTCTGGGTCTCTGTTTGTGGCATCCGCGAAGCAGATAAGAGATCTGGATGTCTGGTCTATTCTTTGAAATATCTTCACCTGCGTTTTGGAGCCCGACATCCGCGGCCCGGGCTCGAACCCTAACACCCCGAAAGCACCCTTCGAAAACCTGCTTCGGGCATGGGATCGTACTGATCTGAACTGATCTGAGAGACACGAATCTTACACGAGCAGATCCCCTGCATGAGATGGATACGGCTGCGCTCAGCTATCCAAAGATGTCCGCGTAAGAATGACAATGCCATTTCTTGAAGTACGGACACACAGAGGGAGGAGGTAGGAAGCAACAGTTGTTCAGCGCTAGACTTGGCTTCTTGAGATCCCTGACGGCTGCAAGCATCTCTTAGCCTCTGGCCGCTCCGCTATTTTAGCCTCAGCCATTGCTCTGGGGCCTGCCAACTCTTGGGTCCAGTGGGTAGTATCTGTCGGGAGTTGAAAAATGGTCCCAACCCTGATAGCCGGAAGCCTCGCGAAGAATCTTTGTCTTGGAGACCGCGGCGGCTTTATCCAATCGGCGGTTCAGCTTCTTGCACGCCGGGCTTGTCTTTGCAGCGTGGCACTCGAAAGCCAAGATGTCGATCAAGCCCAACTTTCCGTGGTCTAACAGCCCAGAGAGGATGCCGTGTTCAGCGCCCTCCACATCCATCTTCACGACGATGTAGTCCGACTCACGAAAGCTGTCGATCATCCATCGCACCACATCGACCATGGGGATGTGATACTCTCGCGAAGTATCTTTCTTGGCATTTCCCGCTCCGAAGCCACCGCGAATTAGCACAGTCCTTGCCGTGTTGTCCGTCATCTTCAGCTCCCCGTCTTCTGATCCCACGGCTGCCGGAATGAACCTGGGCAGAGTTTATAATATGCATATGTGTGTATATATATATGTGTGTAATTAATGTTGTGTGCACTTATATATGCTTAAAGTATTGTGCTTGAAAAAATGCTTGGGGTAATGTCTGCCAAGCAGTCTTGCTGTGCAGGTAAGGCACGTGTAACGTGACTCCTCTGCTGTTGGAGGAGGGGCAGCAGCTTCTCGCATCCGTGAATGAATGAGCTGCAAGCTGCTGAGCTCGGGCTCTACCTTCGGATCGAAACAACTACCACGATGGGGAAGGTGAAGCTGCTAGCTTCAGACCCGAGGCTACAGCACACTGCTCATCTAACCCAGTCTGGCACAGAAGCTCGCCTTGAGAGCATGGATCTGCGGCTCGAAGAGCTTCACCATGCACTCTCGCGTCGAGTCTGTGGTCTTTTTCCTGCAATGAAACCTCTTCGCCAGGTCGTTGAGGTGGCCATTGGACCCTGCGGGCGGTATGAGCACCGGAGGTTTCGGCCCCTTGCCGTTCAGGAAGCTGACAAACTTGTTCACATAGGGCTGGATTAGCGGATTCCTCAGAAACAGACACGGTTTGCACGGCATTTTCCGTGAATCGTTTTAGAACTTCCCAGGAAACTTGGGGAGGGGTCTGGATCAGCCGAAGCTGCGCTTCAAAGGCATAAACCTCCCAGGCGGAATCCCGGTGTGGGCTCTGACTCAGATCTGAGTACCTTAGTCAATCCATGTCTTTGGACGGGTGCTTCGGGAGAAACTTCTGCGCAGAATTGACACACCTCACGAACATGTTGCCAAAGTCCACATGCACGGTCGGGAATATTCCCGCAACAAGCCTGATGCTCTAAGGCGCCCGGGCCCAGCCTAAGCTGAAATCCGAGAAGGCACAGGCGTAAGGTGTTGGCCCAGTTCGCACCCATGTCGAGGTAGATGTGCCTGCTGCAGCAAGTATATGAATGATCTGTCTCGATCTCTCTCTGCCGGGCATGGGGGTCGATCAAGACCCCCGGGCGTCAAGCCCGCCCGCAAGTGTTTTGCGGGGACAGGGGTGTGACGAGCGAGCATAAATCATCTGGAAGGCTATAGCCCTAAAGAATACGATATCGCAGCTCAGATGATTGTTATGATTGTATGCTCTCACCGACACAAGCTTCAGGCACCTCATGTTCACCCCTAGTAAAAAGAAGGCTCATAAAGACGCCTCTCTCTCGCTCTCTCTCTCTCTCTCTCTCTCTCTCTCTCTCTCTCTCGCTCTCTCGAAGTGAAAGTGCACGTAATGACGGCCTAGAGTATATGATTGTATAATCTAGTATCATGCTAGATTACATTGCGCAAGAACTGCACGACGGGGGAAGATCTCCTTTCGCCTCGCCTTCGGTAGGACGTCACAGGAGGCCCATCCTCTCAAAGGTGCGGGTTCAACACGGCTGGTGGATCTCTGAGGGTTTTGGGGTTGGGGGTTGTAACCTCCCTCTGTCAGGACCGGGAGACTCGGAGAGCATCTCTCACCTCAAGTCGCACAAGTATCGTAGCGCCAGGGCATCGCAAATTTGGAGCATCAGTGGGGGACCTCAAAACCATCCCAAGGCTCGAGATCCCGTTCAAAAACATCCTACCCCAACTTTCGATTAAAGCAAACTCGATAACTCAACCCGACTCGCGGCTATGATCACTGCAATCCTGAAAATACCATTCGTGAACTCTTGGGCTCACGGTCCTTCTTGGTGGATTCCGTCGTCCAGGACTGCACCTGCCCCGTCGCAGAGCTCGCATGCGGCGGCACTTCTTCCTCGAGCTGGGCTCCAGGCTTCTTACAAACATGAGTTGAAGAAGGATTTGTTTTTGAAGGGGCGGGGGGGGGTATGTATCACACAGAATGACAATGATAAAGCACCATAAGAAGAACGTCATTCCCGTTGCGTTCGGGTCGAGGAGTTGAAGTCCAGAACTGTATCACGCCCGTGTGCAAACCTCTTGTACAGAACAACAGAAGGAGGTGGGGCGGGCCCTCCATCTTTTTGGTTTAGGGTTGCTTGGAGGATCAGGAACTTAGTAAGTAGGGTTATGGATACATTAATCGGGGGTTCTAGATAGCCATAACTATTGTTACCTTTTTTGTCACTTTGCTTATGACCCCATTTGCTAAGGCCGTTGGTCTTTTTTACCTCTGTAAGTCCACAGCCCCAACACTCGGGTGCCTCAGAGTCTGACAGATGTATGTGCCAAGAACAGCCCAAAACGAGAGCCAGGAGTGATCAATTGGAACTGCTTGCTGCCAAACAAGGCTGGTTTCGCACATGTGCGTCTGAAGCCAACGCTTTTGTAGCAACACTTCTCTAGAGGTCAGGATCGGCTGGGGAGAAGTTGCAACGAGGGTAGAAGTAGGGATGCGAGCTTCACTCCCGAGCACTCTGTGTAGAATTGCATACCTGCTAGAGATTGAGTCTCGGATATTAGGAAACTTGGTCTTGTTCTTTCTCTGGTTTAACTACAACCTCGGTTGAAGTCTTGGGTTTGTTGTTAAGCCCAAACCGTGAACTCGGAAGTATCCCTACACATAGGGCAGAAAGATGAGAGTGAGTCAATTTTGCCAGAGAGAGCCCTCAACACTAAACCCGGGCGCCAAAACGTAAACGCGTTATACTCAGCCATCCCCAAATCTAAAGCTGGGGCCTTTCGTAGGGAACGCACAGGGCATGCTTGACACGAAAAGCACAGCCAACCCTAAACCCGAAACCTTAAACCGCTTCAGGCCAACCTCTACACTGCACATGGAACACGAACAAAAACATTGACTAAGAAGATAATGTTAGGTAATATTATGTAAAGGTGTGTTATCGTGGATGCCAATATGTGTTGCATTTGCGTGCGCAACACCAGCCGTGAAAACAGGGAAGATCCGAGATGCGAGCAGCCCATCGGGACTGGCAGGACTTGTTCGTCCGAGCCAATCCGGACAGCGTGTGGTGATTTGGCCACACAGCAACATTCGGCGCTGCTATCTCGAGTGCAAAGGGTCTGCCAAAGTGGCCGGGCCATCAATAAGACAAGATGTCGCGATGATCATTGCTTCTTGGCGCACTGTTTCCTACTTCTTTTCTCAAACACAGGATTATGCCGGCCTGCAAGGGGGTTCCGACGATTCCAAGCCAAGCTTGTATGCTGCATGCGCGATGTTCGCATGATCAGCGCTCTGTTTGTCGCATTCAAAACGATGGGAATGCGGGAAAAGCAAGCTGTAGAGGCCTTTCCGTGGCAGTACACCGATTCTCAGCAGATTTTCTGTTGAGGCAGCAACACCATCAGCCACAGTTGGTGCTGGCAGCTGCGTCGTGCGAACGTAGGCATGGTTCGGTATGACAAGTCAAGCACAAACATGCATGTAAACATCCACATGTACCTGTACGAGAGGCAGTTGCCACCTATGTAGCATACCGATGGCGGATGCTGCTTTGGGACTGCTTGCTTGGCACAAGAAAACTCACGGGGGCTGTGGCAGTTGGAATGTTTTACTGCCGCGTCTGTGCCTGCACTTGTGGCCTCAAGGGTCAGAGGCAGAGGGCAGACGCTGCACATCACATCATGGTCAAGTGTGTCTCAACCATCTTTACAATTTTTTTGCTCCTTGCTAACAATGCCTGGCTCTCGATTTCCTGAGATGTGCCACAGCCCTCAATGCTAATTCGGAGTGCAACGCTCCAACATCTTAAAGAAAAAGAGTTTGTTACCGATCGAAGCCTTCTTCTTCTGCTCGAATGAGCGGTCCCATGAAGTCATATGGAGTCCGTCCAAGGCTGTCCCGCTGTGCGGGGTCTGCACCGAAGAACAGGAGCAAGCGTACCATGTGCCAGTCTCTCTCTCTTGCGGCGAGATGAAGCGGATAAGTTCGGCACAGCCCCCAACAGGAGTTCTTTGCCACATTGACATCGAAGCTGTCGCTGCGAATGCCGCGTCTATGCAGAAACTCGCTAACTTCACTCTTGGCCTTCTGGAGATTTGACTGCTGCACCTGGATTTGTTGATGCCTTCTGCTTCTTTCTTGCTCTTGTTTACATTTCCACCCGGCCAGTCGCTCCGCGCTGCACTGCTCTGTTTCGTCTTCTTCCAGCACCTTACAGCGCCCACCGCGTTGATGGAAAACGTCAGTGCACAAAGGCATGAGGAGAGCTACGGTTGCTCAACAGTATGACTAAATACGGGAGCCAGATGGCTTGGTGGCTTCGACTTTACCAACAGGTGGACCCACCCTGAACACCGAACCCTAACCAAGCTTAACCCTAAACCCATCGAGAACTCTTCTGAGGCTCTTCTGGGAGCGGTCTGCTGCCGCACATCTTAAAGGCGCACTCCCCGTATGGAGTTGTGGGTCTGGGGTTTTGCCAAGCCCGAACGACCGCCACATTTGGGGTCACCGGTTCGCAAACCCAAAACTCCAAAACTACTCCGGAAACACCGTAAAAAACCGTACCTCGGTGCAGCCCTAATAAACATTGATAGAGCCCTGTAAAAGGTTTGTGAAAACTTAGCAGCATTCCTGACTCCTCACTCCTACGCCTCAGACCTCATCCAGCAAAGGGCCAACCTTCTCATGCGCTTCGCCGAGAGGGTCCATCGGAGCTCCATGCCAAGAGCTGGCACTCTTAACCAAGGCTCAGAGCTTAACGTCGAGCAGTGTCGAGCTTGGGGTTTAGTCACGGGCGCAGCCTTTTACGCTCTCACAATTTGGACTAGCCAGGCCAGGTCGATCAAGTACAAGTCGGCGTGAAACTAGGTGAAGCCTCCCACTACCCTAATTGTGCGGACTACCAGAGATTTTCTCCCCAGTACTTGTGGGCATGCTCTTCCACCCAGACCGGGTTACACTGGCTCTCACATGGCCCTTTGCAGAGAACGCGCTGCCGCCGCAGCCGCTGTTTCAGTTCCCATCCCTCGGAGATCAGCTTGTCCACCGCTTCTTGCTCCGGCCCCGGTTCCCTGTGAACTTCCACGATAATCCTCAACGGTGCTTCCGAACAACGTGAAAGCCAAAACGACTACAGACCCATAGGAAAAGAGCGAGTTCAAAGAAGCACAAAAATCCAAATTACCCTGTACATCCCATGCCCCACACCCTGTATCTCCAACTCCAGCTCCCCACACCCAAATTCAAGATCACGCCGACTCAAACCTAACACCACAAGCCTAAAGCCGTAAAGCAGAAATTCAGTGACTAAGTAGGCTGCCCAAGGTCATGGACAGCATCTCCAGCAGCTCTGGATTCTCGTCAAGGAAGCTGCCGAAGCAACCCTCGCCTCTTTTCGTCGGGTTGTTATACGTGGAAAACGATTCTAACAAGATTCGAATCTCACTTACAATACTAGGCCCATACGATAAAATCATATCAGCCCTGCTTGTTGTGGCAACTTAGACCAACTTCATTAACAAGCACCCAGTCACAGTCAATGGCCAGAGTGTCAAAGGTGGCATTCAGAGACCGGAGTCTGTGCGCAGGAACCACCACTCCCGGTCGAGGGTCATCGAGGCTCATGGTGATACTGCCGTAGTTGTGGAGCAGGAACTTTAGGCTGCTCGTGCCAATGGGGCCGCGAACCACCTGAAGCTGAAACAGAAGCCTGCACCTCTAGGAAAACCCATGGGAGAAGCCATTACATCTGATGTCCCGGGAACTGTCGCATGGCAGCCGTGGCGTTGAAGGTTCTCTTCCAATACATCCCACACTGCAGGATCAGCATCAGACGCATGCAACCTGGCGCCGGTGGAGTCTGGCTCCAGGAGCTTGGAAAGCAGGCAGGTCGTTTGACCATACCTGAGCTGCATTTTACGGGTGCCCAGAATCATACAGGAGAAGGCACCCAAAACCTACACTCCAAAACCCAAACTGATCTAAATCCTAAACCCCAAGACAGGGAACCGTGCTCCGACTTCCAGGACCGAAGACCCAGGACGTATCCAAGTCGTATACATCAGCCGGGAGCCGTGCCTTACGGGTTTGGGGTTTGGATTTTTCCCTCCCACTTAGCAAGGACGAGCCCGCAATGCAGGGTACATTGGTCCGAAGAGGCAGATGAGGGTTTGGGTTTAGGGTTCGGGGCCTGGGGTTCGCTTCGGGGTTCCTTGAAGGTTCTATAACGGTTGTCGTTTTTAAAAAAGCTATACGGTAGAAGAGCCACAAAAGCAAGTTGAAAGATTAGGAATTGGAGAGCCCAGGCGCTCAATTTGGCAGAGAAATTGGTTCCCTCCCTCCGTCTGAAAGTCGCAGTCATCTTGGACCAACTCCTGGGTTCTGATGTTAGGGAATAGGCTACACACTATGTAATTTCCAATGGATGAATATGTTTTCTATGCCATATAAATACAAAAATGCAGTATATGTCTCTCTCTCTATATATATACGTATAGATTCATAATTATGTTTATTTCTATATATGTATATATATATATAAACAGATTATTTAACAGGGCTTCGACTCTCACGGGTGGCTGTAGCTACGCTTGTAGATAATCATGTCCCCTAAGTTGTAAGTAGCTGAGCCCGGATTCAGCGCAGTCCCGGGTCCATCTCGCAGTGACTCTACTCTGGATCAAAGACCTGCCAGTGGCCTGGCAGTTGCCGGCTCCCTGGCCGGCGCAAGAGCCGACGAGGAGGTAAAGCGTCGCCAGCTTATGCCAGCAGCGCTGCGAGAGGCGATAGTGATGCATGGTATGAGGTATCAGAGATCCGTATACCCCCGGCGGTGTACACATAAAGTGGAGGACGAAGCTTGAGCAGCTGCGGCGGGCGGCAACGTTCAAAAACCCTGCAAGCATGATCGCGATGTTAGCTACTAGTAGCACCCCTGAACTGGCTTGTAAGGGCTTTTCGTAGCGGCTGTAAAATGAGGCCAATGCCCGGTGCAATGGCCCAATCAATCCTAAACCCTACTCCAATGCCCGTGGAGTCCTGCGCGGGTCGAGCATCTGGAGCGTCGACTTTGGCTTCTTTGGTCAAGGACAAACTCCAGGTCGAGGCATCTTGGCGGACACCTTTGCGGGCTTAGGGCTTAGACCAGCGCCGGACAGCTGGACAAAACTAGACAGGTTGATTTACCTCGGATGAGCGTGGGCTATCTCAGCCGGAAGCAACCAAAAGCCGGGATAGTCGCAAGGTGGGTTCTTGCCAGAATGTGAAAGCAGCTCGATGCAGTGACACTTGCCCTCAACCGCTGCGCATCACGCTTCGCAGCAACATAGAAACACACCGCCTGATGCTGCTTTACAGGACGCTACCTCGATCTACAGCTGACCCCCCTACTCCCCAAGTATTCCGACTTGTAATAAGAAATCCCCGCACTTGCGTACTCTCTTGACGAAGGGCTGAAGAAGCTGACCAGCGCGAGAAGGATACCCAAGGCCCAAAGTCGGCGAGAGCACATGGCTTTTCTTCTCTCAGATTTTACTTCGGATTCTGAAGTTTAGGAGTTTAGGCCTTGCAGACAACTGAAACCTGGTGCCTGAAGCTAGCAGCTAGTTAAGCGCTTCTCTGCCTTTTTGACGATACCTCGAGGATTGAAGGTCTGGAAGGATTGCCAACTGACCCAGATGTGCTGTAAAAAGTCCTGTACCTGGCCATGGTGGTGATACAGGCATGCAGGTTAGCTATCCTGAAGCATCAAACTCATTCTGATAAAACTAGGCAGAGGGAACCGCGGCCAGTTGCCATGCCAGACACAAAACAGGGTCAGTGACTGATTCAACTCAATGCTGCGGCGCTCCTGATGACAAGGAGTTTTCTCTCGCAGGCTTAGTCGAGGAGTCTGAAGAGCGCAGAACCCCCACCCCCCTTCGTGCCCATGTCCCTCTCAGCAGGCAAGGGCTGCTTAGCAGCTTTCTCCGTGAATGCCATGAATTGCCTATGGCAACTTTCCGACAGCAAGGTCCATCCGCTGCTCTGAAAACCACTGGGGCTAGGAAGAGTCGGATGGAAACAGTCTTCCGATCCCTGCCTGCATCCTGCAACGTGGCAGATGTCTTGAAGCTTGACTCCTTGACCTGCCCACAGAGGCCGCATCCAATGCAAAAGCTGCAGTCGGGCAAGACAGAAGCATCGTCCATGCTGCTTCCCTGCCTGATCTTCCTCCACGTGGGGCAGGGCCATGGAAAGGTTGGCAAGGGGAGCCCACTTCTATGCCAGTGTTAAAATCAAGCCGAGCTCGTCCAGCTGGCCACCGCCAGGACGACGCCGCTTCCGTGGGGCCCTTTCGGAGTTATTGCCCCTCACTCTGCGCCACCGTGCCGTCGCTGCTTGCCTCTGATCAGATCGGCTCATGTAAACGAAAAGAGCTGCAGGCGACAAGCCATCTTTGGGCCTCGCGGCCGGGGCGGAGCCCTCGGCGCGGCAAAAAAGCCCAGGCACACACTACTTATAGAGCACTCCGAGGCAGCGTTTCGGCGATGTGGGGTCGGCACATCGACGCAGACAAAGCGAAGGCCAGATTTGCCAGCCCCTGGCCGGAAGTCTAAGTCATCGCCAAATTGCTAGACTTGGCTTGGAGGTCACCTGCTGGGTGAACTCCGAAAGCCTGGTGCACCCTGCCATCACCAGTCGCAGACCTTCGTCATTGAACGCACAAGTTCAGAGTTTGAGTTCTAGCCAAACCCAACCAAGAGAAGAAGCTTAGCGTATCCGTCGTTCGCAATCTCGCTAGTCCAGCCAATTGAATGCTCATGGGGACTTCTGGGTAGGTTTCGGAAGTCTTCATAGCTCTCTTTCTCGGACACCTGCAGGCAGACAAGTCTGAGAAGCCGGAGTTTCACAGCCCATGGGCAACCTCGGCGATGCGCGCAAAAGCCCAAGCAGCTGTGGAAATCTCCTGCGGCTCAAAACCTGCCGGTGCACTCCCGGGATGTACGGTAGGAAACGCAGCCAAAAAGGTACGAAGAGCTGGGGGATGCCTTCGAGTCCACGCTCCAGCGCTGCCGTAGAGAGCCTGGAAGGACGGTTTGGAAAGGGGAAAGTCCCTGCCGTGGATCCTCATCGGCCAGGTGGCAGCGTCAGAAGCGGATCGGGGGCCTCTGCCAGCCTCCATGTTGTTGCATCTTGCTACTTGCCTCCCATAACACGGCCTCGCTCCCCTGCCTTGCAAAGCTCCAGGCGCATATTGCCAAGTTCCTCGATTTCTGGCAGACTCCAGGCCGAAGTAGATTCGTCGGTTAACGCGTCACCATGCAATGCCTTCCTGTCGTCATGTGCTTTGCAAGCGAGAGTCTGTGGCGAGATTTCTTTGTACATGATGCTGGCCTGGGGGCAGTGGCGGGAGAAGGCGATGCCTGCTTAATCGGCTTAATCCGCACTACACTCTCCTGTCGCACAATCGCTTCCACCGCATCACCCGCCATGGGAAATCTGTCCTGACTAATGAACCGGTCCTTTCACTCACAACTTCCACGCATGCGCATTTCCTCTTTGGACAATGAATGCTTGGACTCACTTTACGCATCCGAAATGTCTGCCATTTCCAGAAGCCTCCACTTGCGACGTTGCCATTGCCCACAGCAGGGTTGCCAAATGCCGGGGCCTCGAGATACTGGGCTTTCGGATTCTTAGGGTTTTAAGGCCGAGATCCTCGATTCGTAGACTCAAACTCTGAACCTGAGGGCCCTACGGCATTTCTACCCTCCGAAAACCGAAAACTGTGAGCCCTAAAAGGTGACAAAGGCAAAGCCCCGGACTCTGCAGTGTCTAAGCTCTGTATGGCCGCAGCGGCCGCCCGCCAGAAACTGCCCGAAACAAGCCTTCAGAATTCAGTGCTTTGTTTTGCCTACCACCTAGCTAGGACGGCCCACATTGCAAGATTATGTATTCACAGGGCCAGGGCTTCCTTTAAGGGTACTTTCAAGCGCTCCCACAGCAAATCCAAGAAGGGTGTCTCGGCGCACACACACTCGAACAGTCCAGACGTGAAGGGTTTCGGATACTGAAGGCCGAGGCTGTTTTGCCACCTACTTCGCAATGACGAGCTTGCATTGCAGGGTTTACGGGTTTTGGGGTTTTGATTTTGGGGCTTAACAAGCAGAGGAGGGGTGCCTGGGGTCCAAAATCAAAGCATCTTCAAAAGGAGGGTCTTCGTAAGGAGAATCTAGTCTTTACTGCTTCTCATTGCTTTGCCACACTCTGCTTCTCCCCGCCTGTCCCCTCCTTGCAACGACAGCCTGAGCAACAAGCACCAGCACCAGTGTTACAGTCAAAGGTGGCCGGCCTGAGGACTGCCAAAGCCCAGCACGTATTCGACAGGCCCTGGCAGAATGTCAACTCGACGTGACCGGGCCTTCTGAGATTCTGCCTGACATTTCAGGCACCTGGGAATTCATCTGCGAAGTCAGCCCGGCCTAGAGAGAGGTCAACTTTCCAAACTATTCCTTACCATGACCGACAACTCTGAGTTTCGAGCTGCGGCTGAGGCCAAGGGGACTGTTTGGGCTTCAAACCTTGGTGTTCGCACAGTCATTACAGCACCTGAACGCTTCGGCTGCGATAAAATCATCATACGCCGGAAACTTTGACAAGACAGTAAACACAATAGAACTATATATGATCTGGTCTGAAACACTATACGCGAATACAGTTTGTTTTACGCGAGTACGACATAGCATAGCATTACATAACATGTCACAAAACTATATAGCAGACTGTGTACTACAGTGTTTCAGATTGCCACAACATAATCGGTTGCAAAGTAAGATATGAAATAAGATATAGTACCATATCATACAACATATTTAACGTAATGCAGTATCAGGCGCAAAAGGAGACAACATCGTGACTTAGGAGGCTCTATGATGTTTTAAGATGATACAAGGTGATCTCATATGATGTAAGATAACATACGAGATACAACATAGGATAATATCAAAAACGCAAGATAACATGATCGCTGCTCTCATCTTCGTCTTCTGTGGAGAAATCGCCGAGGGCTTTGGGAATAGGTCAGAACACACCACGTCCCGAAGTCGTGGGTGACATTACGAGAACCATAGCAACACGACGACAAGTGCACTTCTCAATTGCCCCCGCCAGCGAGGCACCTGATCAGCACAATCGCGACAGAAGACAAGAGTTCCCCAGCCATGCACGCGAACCGCTGCAGGGAGACGAGACGAGCAGTGCCTGAAATATCTCCCTTCGACTGAAACACATCTTCGATGTCTTGTTACCAAATCACCTTCCATGTTCCATGAGCATCAAGATATTCACGCTGGCACTCGCTGTCGTGCCCGGCTAGCTAGCTCGGCAAAAGTCCGCTTTTCCAGGAGTTGCACCAAGATGCCACGCTTTCAACAGGCTCTTCATCTTCGTTCTCTCAGAGTAATTTTGATTTCTCGGAAGCCTTGTCACATGCATGCTGTGCAAAGACTCACAACAGAGAGCTGCGGTTTAGAGGCAGTGAGAAGGTACAGTTTGAAGCCAAAGCTCGCGGCAGTGGGGTCTCTCCACTAAGCTTCGCGATGGCCTGTCAAGCCGGTGCTCAGTGTAATGTCACGAACCAGCGCCGCCTACTGTGTTTGAAGTTACGTTGTAACTTAAGCAACATCGAGAATGGCTGTGATTTCATGGCCCAGAGGACTCCTGCTTGGCCAGGACCATGCAAGCCACCCCACTGAAAGCGAATCAGAAGCCAATGTTTCGCACCTCTGCCGCCCTTTGAATGAATAATATGCAAATACCCACGAAACCAGGGCGCACCCAGCAAACGTTGGACAGACTGCGATGCCCGAAGCCGTGCACGACCAGTTCCTGCAGCAAAGAGTCCAAGAGCCCAAAGGCAAAAAAGCATTCTTATTCGCCCTGCTCGGCAACACTGCTACTGTTCTTCAGCGGCAACCACGGTGACAACGACCTCTTCTTCTTCTACTACTAGTAGGGGTACTACCACTACTACCACTACCAGCATTACTGCTGCTGCTGCTGCTGCTACTACTACTACTACTACTACTACTCCTACTCCTACTACTACTACTACTACTGCTACTGCTACTACTCCTGCTAAAGGTCCAGGTGACCATCGAGTACTGCCATGGGTGCTATTCGACATTGCGGCAAGAATACTGGTGCTAGAGCTGTTGCAGTGCACCGATACCTGCTACTCCAGAGGGGCAGGCGGAGGACTACCACTAAAACTACTACTACTACTACTACTACTACGACTACTACTACTACTACTACTACTACTACTCCTACTCCTACTGCAACTGCAACTGCAACTGCAACTGCAACTGCAACTGCAACTGCTGCTGCTACTGCTA